TTTTTACATAAATTTTCCTGTCCCAGGATGTTATCACTAATTCCTCAGTGTCTGTATATACAGTTTAATAAATAGTACTTTAAATAGGTGCTCTTAATATTGATTGTTTCTAAAGAGATAATTATTACAATAATGTATGTTATTTAGGAAAGTGATTTTATATTCTTGTGGCTGAATTTTTGTTGTTATTCTTAGTTGATCATTTATAAAAAATCAATTGTTTTTATGAGTTCTGCCATTGGCATTTATATTGTATTTTTTATAGTTTAATGTCTGATAAATATTTATAAATTGTCTTTGAACACTGGGAAAATAATTTTCCATTAGATAGAAGCTTAGATGCATACTTGTCAGACTTCTTGATCATGTTTATCATAAAATCTCTTTTAATCATGTTGTTCAGATCTATTTTTACTTTATATATTTGGATTAAGTATTATGGTATAGATATTTGTTCTAGCCATATCTATATTGTGAATTTTACCCTGCATCACTGTAGGGCATTCATCTATATTGTTTTAATCCCTTGTGAATCAAATTTCATATTAATGTAAACATTTTCATTCTTGTTTTAGTATGTTTCCATTCAAATGGTATATCTTTGCCTTTAGTGGAAAAGTGCAGCACTTATAAAAAACATATGGTTGAATTTTCTTTTCAAATCAAATATGAAACTATTTGTCTATTAAGGTTTTTAACTTTCAACTATGAGCATTTTTATGTATTGCATTTATTTAGTCTTGTTTATAATTATTATTATTGATAAAATACTTGTTTCTTTATATCTTTTGTACTCTCAAGATACTTTTTTTATAGCTTGACTATGAAATTTAGATATAATCTTGAAATTTTGACAATAAACTAGAAAAACTGAACATATTTTAAAGTAAAACAAATAGTATTGAATGATGAATAATATAGATTTTATATTATAATATTAAATTTAGATTAGAAAATTAATTTTCCTTTTTATTGCTGCAATTTAGATGTCTTTATACAATGGGAAGTTTTTTGGACCTGCAATGAGTGTGACTCTTTCAACATCTTGTAAGTTACTACTGAGCCATTTATTGCATTATCTCTATAACAAAATATATCTTGGCACATATACAGCTGTAGCATATCATATTCAAACTTATGTTGAATTTAAACATATTTAAATGATATGCTTTATATAAACATAATATTAAAAATTGTTATGTGAAAATACAGATAAACGTCATATTAAATACGTCATCTTAACTTCATGTAGTTGTTGTTAGGTGTTGTCTTTAACTCAGAGGGACCAGATGTGACAGATTAGAACTGCCCATAGGGTTTTCTTCACTGTAATCTTAGTAAACCTGGTGCTTCATTAAGGGAGCTGCACAGTGAGTAGGTTTGAACTTCCATCTGCTTGGCTAACAGGCACATGCCTTAACCTGTTGTACCACCAGGGTTCTTCAATTCAGATCAGAGGATTATTAAATTATTAAAGGATTGTTGACATCATAAAACAACACACAAGAAGGCTTATCTTCACAGACTATTAAATTATGACTGTCCTGTGGCATTTTATGTTAGCAGTTCTTTTGTGTGTAATAGTCTGAGATTATTGCCGTATTTTGAGATTATTAGTTATTTTGATTTATTTTGTTCTTCAACCGCATACTTTTTGGAAGTGGATGTCAGATACAATTTTTTTTCCCCCTGATATACCTAATTGAAGTTAACATAGTAGTATGGAGACTATTCCCTGAACTTCCTATAGGGGAACTCATCATGAAAGGAAACAACTTTTGTCTTGTGGGAGCCATGGATTTAGAAGTCCCATATCCCAAATAAGAAACAGTCTGTAATGACCTGGTGATCTACTTCCAAAAAATCAGCTATTGAAAACCCTATAGATAATAGTTTGACCTTGGCACACCTGGGGTCACCGTGAGTCACAGTAACTATTTTGTTTCTCTGCTAGTAATATTTTCATTTGCAAAGCTTTCAGAGGTGACATCATTGTTGTGCCCAGTTACTAGAGGGGTTGTACACTATATCTTCCCACTAGGTTGATAGGGTTTATATGCAAACCTCCCTCTGCAGATGTAATCAGGATCCTTTTATTGTCAACCCAAGTGCCTGTTTCTGGAGATGTATGATTTACAGCTCAGATTTACATATTTCATTTCCAATTGGAGGTCTGCTCGTTATTTCAAACTCTTAAGTCCAAAACAGAACTTCTGTTCTCTCCTGGAACCTGTCCCACCTATAGCCTTTCTAACTGAGTTAATTCCAATGCCATTTAATCATTTTCCCCACTTTAGAGCTACTACCCTGGACTGACAAGTCTTGGTGTGGCTCTGTAGGATAAGTCCTGGACCACAAGGTCGGTTTAAACCCCAAGGATGGTGGTCCAAACTCACCAGTCACTCCTCAGAAAGCCATACAGGGTGGCTAGGAGTTGGAATGGACTTGACAGCACTTAACAATACCAACAACCCTGGTCCAAACCACTGTCACCTCTTGCCTAGACATGGCATTTTCATTATGTAGTCATACCTGTCTTTGAGTGTTTGTTAAAATATATTACTGTACTCAAAACTCTATAGGAACCTATCTATTTCATGCAAATTAAAAACTGAAATATTCTTAAAATGCCTTAAAACACTGAAATAATCTGACTGTTACACCTCTACTTCCTGGTTGGTTAGATCACGTCTCCTACTGTTTTCATCCTTACTCACTAAGTTCCACTATATCTTGGGTATGCCAGGCATGCCTCTGCCTTTGAATTCTTGCCCTAAGGAAGCATTCTATCTAGAATACACATTCCCAGATATTTGCTTGGCGGTCTTGTTCTCTGCAGTATCCTAGACACCTAGAAGAATACTTGGTGAGCAGTAAAACTCAAAACAAATCAAAACAGAATTTTGAATAGTGTATGTTGTTAAGTGTTGCCGAGTAGATTCTGACCCATAGCAACCCTGTATATGGTTTCTGAGGAGCAACTGGTGAGCTTGAACTGCAAACTGTGGTTCAAACGGCATTGCAATCTGACACATTAACCCACAGCACCACACCAAGACTCCTTGAATAGTGTATAGTTTCAATAAATATTTACTGTGTGCTAGGCATTGTGCTAAGTGTTTTCTAATATTAAATTAATTCTAATATTAAATCAACTCACTTAATATTACTTTAGAAATGAAAGATGACAAGGATTCTGGCCAGTCCTGACTAGGAAGTGATTGAGCTCGAATTTGAACCTAAGCAGGCTCTGGGCCTTTAAGGGGCTGCACTTTCACTGTATATGAAAAGTATGACATACTAGTCATTATGAGATGTATTTCCAACACACCTGTTGTCTGTCCTTAGGGAAATTTTAAGTTGTACTAAGTCTTACCCTGCCTGTAGAATGAGACATTTTTGTCCCTTGGTTGCTCAATTTTACCATTAAGATGAGAAAATGTACCTTTGTGTGTTAGAAACGTTTCTGATATCATTCTACATATAAAGTTTAACTATATGGATTTCTCTTTGAGACTTCTAGTAAGTGGATTACCTCTTTGATACTTTCATGGTGAAGTGATTGAAAGAAAGAAAATTCAATCCAAATGAAATTCTTTCATAAAGAGACATTATTTCATCATGAAAGGGGAAAAATTGTTCTACTATATCCCATTACTCTCTTTAAATATAAAATATTTTAATTGGGCCCGAATTGTCAATATAAAATTTACAAAATCAGAAATTTGTTGTATTTGGACTTATCCTAAAATCTTAAATAAATGAAAACATTGAAAGTACTTTAAAGGTGATTATTTTAAAAATCTAGCAAAATATTTGAGGCAAGAAGCTTTGATAATGTGTTATTTTTCTTTTCCAGATAATTCTAATGCCCTGATTATCTTCCTGGCATTTCTGATTATTGTGACATCAATAGCTCTGTTTGTTGTTCTCTACAAAATCTATGACTTGCATAAGAAAAGGTCCTGGTAAGAGTTGCTTTCCAAATGTAAAAATAATAAAAATTGCAAATCATAATGCCATCACATATCCATGGGGGCTGGGATGAAACCAGTTAAGTGAAAAAAAAAAAAAAAAAATCTGACTACAGACAACACGTGTAAAATTGACTTCATGACTCAACTTTTGATTAAAGATTTTTAATGAAGTGTCACTGAGTTAATTCTGACTGGTAGCGATCCTGTAGAGGGTTTCTAAGGAGTGGTTGGTGGGCTTGAACTTCCGACTTTGTGGTTAGCAGTCCAATGCTTATGCTACAGGACTCCATGGGTTGTATTGGTATATATTAAATCTTAATACATTCTACAACCATAAATAATGTTACGAACGTCTTTTAATAAAGACCAGTGAAAAGAAAGTGTGTCTTGTCCTTTTGTACAAAAATGAGTTAGATGGCTCTTGCTGTTAACTACTGTCTCATAGCAGCTTTGTATAGTGTTTCTGAAGAGCGGCTGGTGGGTTTGAACCACAACTTTATAGTAAGCAGTCCAGTGCTTATCTGGAAAGAAGAGGGGGCTATATAGGGAAGCATATGTATTTCTTTGGCCAGCAACAGTCACATTTTATGAATAACAGGAGATTTAAAATAAAATAGTTTTATCACTTATCTGGGTTTAGAGACAATCCTTGATTGGTTATTCCCTTTTGTCCCCTTTCCTTGTCTCTGTTTCCTCTTCCCCTCTTTCCCCTTTAATCACCCATATCTCCCTATCTTTAGCATATTCACCAATTGAAAAATTAATAAAATGAATTTCAACTGAATTCTATGTTTCTTAAAAATATAGAAACTTTATGCTTCTTGTTTCCCCAGCAATTTAGATGAGCAACAGGAACTTGTTGAAAGGGGTAAGTATGTAAACTTGTACTGACCAATATTTGAATCAATACAGTTTAAACAAGAATTCAGTGCTTTTGATTTCACCCAGATTTTCTCTGTTGGTGACACTTAATATCATTTATTCAATCATCAAGCATCTATGAATTGTCAAAGATATATTGAATATATCAAGTACTGAGAATACCACAGCGACAGGCCATAGACTGTATCCATAAAAGGTTTAAAATCTAATAGAGGAAAACAGAAGTACTAGCAAATATTATAGGAATGTGAGATATCACGTTTGGCAAAGTGAAGCATTGAAGAAAAAGAGGAAGACCCCCAATGAGATGGATTGACACAGTGGTGGAGGCGATGGGCTCAGGTGTAGCAACGATTGTGAGGTTGACCCAGGACTGGGCAGTGTTTTTATTTCTGTTGCACATAGTGTTACCATGAGCTGATACTGATTCGATGGCACCTAACAACAACAACAACAATGTGAGACATACCAGAATACGATGAATGTCTGTGGTTCTACAGAAAGATAGAAGGTTGAGGGAGAAGAAAAATCTGAGTCTTCTAGGATGGTGAGAAATCTCTAGACTGAAAGATGGGGGGATCAGGGAAGAGAGCACAGAAAATCATAGGGATGAGCAGGTGGTAAATATCAAATCCTTGGGTGACCTCGCTCACTAAAGGTTCATGGCAAAGGACAAATCTCACTTAGGAGAGAAAAGTTCATTCTTTTTCTTTTAAAAACTTTTATATGATTTCTTTATTTCTTTTTCAAAACATTTTTATTTCATGAAGAAGGATGGAGTTAAAGAAGCCACCACTAGTCTACAATAAAGAAAATTATTTTTTCATATCCAATAAAGGATATCTTTTTCAGAATTCCTCCATCTTGTTTTTACTTGTCTTTGAAGAGCTTCCCTCTGGCAATAGGAGGTGCCCATTTACAAAAGCTTTGTGTTACTGCCTGGCACCCTATTATGCATTTATGTATTCATTTCTTGAGTAAACTTTGTGAAGGGAGGATTGTCTCATCCCCAGTAGCTAGGTGAGTATGTGAAACTCAATAACAATAACTAAATACATGAATGAGATACAGTCCTGAGGACTGATTTTGTTAAACTAAAGTAAGACTGAAGAGAACTAACACAGTGAGTATGTGAGCAGAGAATGAGAATCCATATAATGAGTCAACATTGACTGGAGAAAATCAAAGCAACACTTCAGCTCAAGGATGAATCTGATCTTTCCTTTGAATGCATTCATATTTACTCACATCCATTAGAATTTACACCAATCCCCAAACTTGAAGGTGGTTCTGCATTCAGAATGATTACCAGGGATTCTCAACAACTCAAAAAAAAAAAAAACACATTTAGTTGATGGCAAGTTGACAATTGTGATTAGATAGGAAGTTTCCATTGACGATAAGAAATATGTTCAACCCTGTTGGACAATCACTTTCATTATTTGGTACATAGGGAAAATTAAGAATACTGAATACAAATTCTACAGGCAGTAGTTGGAAGAGCAGGAAAAATTTTACATGTGTGCCTGCTCAATTTTCTTATGCTTCTCAAACTGTTGCTTTCCAAGATCCACATACAGTTACAGCTCTTGATGGTTAACATATACTTTTACTCTTCAATATATTATTTCAAAAACACATTTAGCATATAATGTGTTGCACTTTGGAGGCTTTAATGAATATAATTGTCTCATTGTTGAGTGTGATTGAGTTAGTTCTGTCTAATCGTAAACCTGTATAGGGTGTCTGAGGAGTGGCTGGTGGATTTGAACTGCTGGCCATTTGGTTAGTAGACCAGTGCTTATCCTACAGCACCACACCAGTCATGCTGTTGTTGTTAAATGCCTTCGATTTAGTTCTGACTCATAGTGACACTGTATAGTGTTTCCAAGGAGCAGCTAGTGAGTTTGAACCATCGACCTTGTGGCTCAAACCAACCTTCCGGTCCAGTGCTTTATCCCACAGTGCCACACTGGTCATAGTCTGATGTGAACAGATAATCAAATTAAGCTGAGCTTGGGTTATAAGGTATTAGAAATGTTTACTCATTTGTTTACATGTTTAAAATGTCTTAAGTCACATATGGATCTTTTTATGGCTATCCTTTATAACAGCTGAGCTATAGATAGGTAAGTCAGTCATGGCTATAAAATGCATAAGTCAAACAAAGAAGTGGAAAAATCATTGCACTGGTGGTATGTGGTTTAGGATCTGAAAGGTGAGGACCTGTTCTCTAGATAGGGAAAATGAGGAAGGCATTCTAGATAGAGGGAACGGTGTGCACAGAGACACAGGAGCATGAAATCATCTGATGTATTTTGGAAAATATTTATGTATAAGGTATGAACAAAGAAGGAAGGGAAATAATGTGAGTACGGTGAATCAAGTGAGATTATCTGTCATTAAGTGCTATCAAGGCATTTCTGACTCATAGCAACTCTGCACAGGGTTTCCAAGCAATGCTTGGTGGGTTGAACAGAACTTAAGGTTAGCAGTCCAGTGCTTATCCTACAGCACCACCCCAGGACTCATTATAAAAGGACTCAAATATAATGCTAAGCATTTAAACTTTATCCTTAATGTAATGGGGCACCAGAAATAATTTTTTCTTTGGTTTGGTTTTCATAAGAAGTGTTATATGATCATATCTGTATTTCATAAGATTGGTAGTGGTGGTGGTTATATGCCATGGAGTCCGTTCCGGCTCATAGTTACACTGTACAGGGTTTCTGAGGCTATGAATCTTTACAGGAGCAGAAAGCCTCATCTTTCTCTCATCGAACTGCTGACTTTGAGGTTAGCAGCCTGACTCATAAGCACTACACTACCAGAACTCCTGTCTCAGAAGATAAATCTGAGGCAATTTAGAGGTTAGATCAGTATGGGGAGAGAATGGAGACAGGAAGAGAGGCAAGCGAGAGCCACAAATGATGAGAAATTGCTGAATGTGATCATTGGCAGAAGAGATGGAACTTATGGGATGGGATATATATAGAGAGAGGGCTCATATTGATTAGCCTGAAAATTCTAATCATAAATTACTTTGTGAATGGTGATCCTGCTTACTGGAATATGAAGTCCTATGTAAAAGAAAATGAGTTTTATTTTAACATTTTGATTTTGAGGAATCTATGGGATAAGTGTAAGGAAAGACTTAGAGTCAATGGAAAAGATCAATATAAATTCCACTGAAGGGCTGAAGTATAAGATTTATAAGAGGTGACTGTTGATATATGAGAGACTTCCAAGGTAAACTGTGTCTAGCAAGGAAAGAAGACTAAGGAATAATTTATGATATAAATTTAATGAAAATTTTGTGAGCATTTTAAGGATAGGTGTAATTCTAGTCCTGGATTTTTAATATGTTTAAAGATGATGAAAAACAACTGATGCATGTGGAGCCAATCCATGCAGATGTTTTGTTGGAAACTTATAAGAGAAAGATTGCTGATGAAGGAAGACTGTTTCTGGCTGAATTTCAGGTGTGTGCATTCTTGGCAAAGGATCAAGAATCCTATTCAGTTATTAAGAGGATTTCATTTTCAATGTATTTATATAATTGTTCTCCTTTGTAATTTATCTCACATAACACTACAACACAGTCAAAACAGATATCTACATAAAAGAGACTCATAGAGGTTGACAAGCTTATAGTCCTGAAGCTAGTAAATATTTTCATTTAATGCTTTATTATATTTATTACCAATTATGAAGCTATATCATAGAGTATATTTGACTGATTTTGAACATATGCTCTTTAAAATCATCCAAGTGTGTGTTTTTAAATGAAATATAAAGAGGTAAAGTGACTAATTCCAAATTTTCTCTCACTTATGGGTTTCATTCTCCTTCTAATCCAACATTAATTCTGAAGGACAATAGGCTTCATTTTTCATAATTCCTAACAATGTTCATTTTCATGACTATACAACTTATCCATCTGTATAAATAAAATCTATTACTGGGTATCTCATTTGCTCAAATGACAACTGGTAAGGGGGAATTTTCTCTGGATCTTCTGTGACCCAAAGGATCTTTGTTTTTCAGAGCATACCACGGGTGTTCAGTAAAATTTCCATCAAGGATGCTCGAAAGTCCTTTAACCAGAATAAAAACCGTTATGTCGACATCCTCCCTTGTAAGTACTCACTGAGAATTGAGTTATCATATATTGAGACCACTCTGTTATTAAGTATTTCACTGATGGTTATCTTTTCTGTGAACAGATGATTATAACCGTGTTGAGCTCTCTGAGATAAGTGGAGACTCGGGGTCAAACTATATAAACGCCAGCTACATTGATGTGAGTAAAAATGCATTTCTTTGTTGTTTTTGTTGATGATTTTAATTTTTCTTTTGTATACACACTTCATTCATTTCCTTCTTTATCTTTATAAAATGTTTGAAATGTTGTTAGAAATATGTTGAAGTAAGTTTATGGTTGTTGTTGTTAAATTCCATCAAGTCAGTTCTGACTCACAGTGATCCTATGCACAACAGAACAAAACACTGCCTGGTCCAATACCATCCTCACAATTGTTGTTACATTTGAGCCCACTGCTGCCACCACTGTGTCAGCTATTCCTAATGTTTTCTTCTTTCATCACTGTCTCTGATAATGTACCATGGCTATTCATAAGGTTTTCAGAACCTAAACATTCAGAATCTGCCTTTCCTTTCTAGTTTGTCTCAGTCTGGAAGTTCTGCTGAAACCTTTCCACCATGGTTGACTCTGCTGGTATTTAAAATACCTGTGTCAGCAACATAACAAGACGTCACTGGATAACAAACTGACAGACGAATGGTGGCGGTGCATACTGTTGCTGATATAAACAACAAAGTTGCTAACATTTATACATATAGTTAAAAGGAGCTCTGGTAGCATAGTGGTTACAAATCGGGCTGCGAACTACAAGGTCAGCAGTTTGAAACTACCAGCTGTTCTGTGGGAGAAAGATGAGGCATTCTGTTCCTGTAAAGATTTACAGCCTTGGAAACCCTGTATAGGGTCGCTATGTGTCGGAACAGACTCACGGCACACAGCCACCACCATACACATACTGGTACTATCTGTACATGAGGGTTTTCCTCTATTAATAAAAGGAGTCTATTTATTAACATATTCTGGTGACCTATTACATCCTGGATATTAGACTGGTTTATCTTTACATGTATTTATTATAAGCCCCACACTGGCCTCAACCGTGTAGGCTATGTTCATCATTTAGATGGGGACTGGGCCGCTCTGGCTAATTGATAATCTTGACCTGTGACACTTTGCTGACATGGATCATCTGTTCTTTTAATTTATCCAAAATGGAAATATCAATATATGTTTGTTTCAAGCTATTTTAAAATTAGAGTTACTATTTAATTCTTAAATAAGAAGGATTCCACATGATTCAAAAAAATAAGACAGCATAAACAAATATATGCTGCTACTGAATGCCATCAAATTGGTTCTGACTCACTGTGACCTTGTACAGTGTTTCCAAGGCTGTAAGTTTTTACAGGAGTAGAAAGCCTCATTGTTCTCTTATGGAATGGCTTGTGGATTTGAACTGCTGACCTTGCATTTAACAGCCCAACATGTAACCTATTACACTACCAGGGCTACATCATATATGTTGGGGTAGTTATATGCCTTGGGGTCGGTTCCAACTCTTAGTGACCCTGTATAAGGTTTCTGAGGCTATAATTCTTTATGGGGGAGTCCTGGTGTGGTGCCAAAGGATAAGCACTTAACTTCAAGAATGGTTTGAACCGCAAGGTCAGTGGTTCAAACTCACCAGCCACTCCTTGAAAACCCTACACAGGGTCAGTATGAGTCGGAACCAACTTGACAGCACTTAACAACAATACTTTATGGGAGCAGGAAGCCTCATCTTTCTCCCATGGAGCTACTGGTTGATTTGAACTGCTGATCTTGTGGTTAGCAGTCCACCTCATAGCCCACTATGCTACAAAAGTTTCCTTCTACTTAATCCTCTATGTGTGGCACTGTAGGATAAGCCCTGGACTGCTGACACTAAGGTTGGTGGTTCAAACCTACCAGCTATTCCTCAGACACCCTATCCAGGGTCACTATAAGTTGGAGTCAGCTTAATGACACTTAACAACAATAATCCTCCATATACACAGTAGTTCCAACTCTCCTGAAGAGAACTTTATGTTGGTTCTTTTTTATACAACTGAGTTTCTTCCAACAAATACAAGAAAATATCAGCAATCATAATTTCCCTTCCTCTTTGTACTAAAGTGGCAACAAAATATCCAAATTGTTCTGTATTATACTTTATTCACTGAAAACATTGTATCTTGATACGTTCTATCATTACAAAGAGCAGGGGTCTGCAAACATTTTCTGGAAAGAGTTTGTTGTTATTGTTAGGTGCCATCACGTCAATACCGACTCATAGTGACCCTACGCACAACAGAACGAAACACTGCCCAGTCCTGACCTAACCTCACAATAGTTGCTATGCCTGAGCCCATCATTGCCACCACTGTGCCATTCCTTCTCAATGGAGTCTTCCTCTTTTTCTCCAACCCTCCATTTTAGCAAACCTTCTCCAGGGACTTGTCCCTCCTGATAATATGTCTGAAGTATGAGAGACAAAGTCTGGCCATCCTGGCTTCCATGGAGCACCCTGGCTGTATTTCTTCCAAGACAGATCTATTACTTCTTTGGGCAGTTCATGGTACTTTCAATATTCTCCTCCAATGCCATAATTCAAATGCATCAATTCTTCTACAGTCTTACTTATTCATTGTCCAACTTTTGCATGCATATGAGGTTATTGAGAATACCATGGTTGGGTCAAGCTGACATTTGTGCTCTTCAATACTTTAAAGAGCTCTTGTGCAGCAGATTTGCCTAATGCAGCACGTCATTTGATTTCTTGACTGCTGCTTTCAGGAGCATTGATGGTTGATTTGAGCAAAATGAAGTCTTTGACAACTTCAATCTTTTTTCCATCTATATGGATAGTGTTTATTGACTCCATAGTGAGGATTTTTGTTTTCTTTACATTGAAATGCAACCCATACCAAAGGCTGTGGTCTTTGATCTTCATCAGTAAGTATTTGATGTCCTCTTCACTGTCAGTAAGCAAGGCTGTATCATCTGCATATCTCAGGTTGTTAATGAGTCTTCCTCCAATCCTGATGCCATGTTTTTCTTCATATAATCCAGCTTCTTGGATTATTTGCTCAGCATACAGATTAAATAAGTACGTTGACAGATTCAACCCTGGCATACATCTTTCAGTGTTCTCTTTTTCTATTTGAAAAACTGCCTCTTGATCTATGTAGAGGTTCCTCATGAGCACAATTAATTGTTCAGGAATACTTATTCTTCATAATGTTGTTCATAGCTTGCCATGATCAACACAATCAAAGACCTTTGGGTAGTCAGTAAAGCATAGGTAAACATCTTTCTGGTATTCTCTGCTTTCAGCCAAGATCCATCTGACATCAGCAATGATATCCTTTGTTCCATGTTCTCTTCTGAATTTTGCTTGAACTTTTGGAAGTTTTCTGCCAATGTATAGTTGCAGCTATTTTTGTATTATCTTTAGTAAAACATTAATTGCATGGGATATTCATGATATTGTCCGAAGTTTTCCGTGTTCTGTTGGGTCACCTCTCTTTAGAATAGGCAAAAATATAGATCTCTTCCAATTAGTTGGCCAGTTATTTGTCTTCCAAATTGCTTGTCATAGATGAATGAGTGCCTCTAGTGTCACATCACTTTGTTGGAAGATTTCAATTGGTATTTTGCCTATTCACAGTGCTTTGTTCTTTGCCGATGCCTTCAATGCACCTTGGACTTTTTTCTTCAGGATCATTGGCTCTTGATCGTTTGCCACCTCTTGAAATGGTTGATTAGTGACCATTTCTTTTTGGTACAATGACTCTGTGTGTTTCTTCCTTCTTCTTTTGATGCTTTCTGAATCATTTGATATTTTGCCCATACAGTCCTTCAGTACCACAAGTCAAGGCTTGGACTTTTTCTTCAGTTGCCTCAGCTTGTGATATACTGCTAGTGTTCTTCCCTTTTGATTTTCTATCTCCAGGTCTTTGCACATTTCATTATAATATTTGATTTTGTCTTCTTGAGCTGACCTCAAAAGAGTGAGGTAGTAAATATTTTTGGGTTCGCAGGCCACACTATCTCTGTTAATAGCTATCTACCTCTGCTGTTGACCTGCTAACCTTTCATTGACAATTTGCTATGTGGCTGACTTCCAAAAAACAGTCTAAGTACCCATCAATTGAAGAATGGATAAACAAACTGTGGTACATACACACAATGGAATACTGTGCTACCTTGAATAACAACAAGGAAGCTGCTAGCCACCACATATCATGGCTGAACCTTGAGGACATTATGTTGAGTGAAATTAGTCACAAAAGGAGAAATACTGCATAGGACCATTATTGTAAAATATTAAAAAAAAAGGACCTTCCCTTAAAGGGGGGAAAAATTATTCATGTATTTGCTGATCACCAGGATGTATAGGATGAGGTGAGGGGAGGGAGGAGGAGATAGATCACAGGGCAGGGAATAGACACAGCTTGGGTGCTGGGGGAGTGGGACAGTACACAAAAAGGGGTTGTGAATGGAAGAACAAGACAGATGGGGGAACAATTACGGAGGTTTGCATGGGTTAAGTGGGTCAGAGGTAAATGATGATGTATGCACAACCTTGGAACAACAGGACTCCGGGATACAGGGATTGCGGCATGGTTTGAATGGGTAAAAGAGGGGAATAATGTTAAGATGCTTGGCTGTCTTTTGAAACTTGGTTCCCCTTGGCTATTATTATAAAATAGACAC